GTGGAAGAGATATATATGTAAACAAATAAATTGCAATGTATTATTGTACAGTATTATGAATAAGGAACAAAGGGGCACAGAGAATAATTTACTGAAAGGGGAAGGGGAGTATTGGAGGCTTCTAGGAGGTTTTGAGACAAATTTTGAAGATAGAGATCAAAGAACTGGGTAAAGTGCATTCCAGGGAAAGAGAAAAAAATGTACAAGTGTAGAGAAGCTTAAAGGATGGAACGTTTGTTTTGGGGGGAAGTAAAAGTTGAGTTCAAGGAGAGAAGCTCCTGATAAGGCTGAAGAAGAGGGAGGAAACAAGTAATGAAGTTCTGTATTGCCCAGTAAGAAGGTTAATAGTCATTAAAGAGTATAGTGTAGGGGAGCAAAGTAGTTAGGCAGGCTTTTACAAAGTTCTCTTTGGCAATGGGATGTCTGAGGGGTTGAAAGAAAACCACGTTACTGACAAGGATAGGATTTTGAAATTGTTGAGACGAAAGATGAAAAGGACTTTATAGTGAGAATGAAAGGGAAAGGATAACTTTTATAAAGATGCTAGATAAATCTCCAGTGAATTACAGAAGACTGCTGGCTGCCTTGGGGGAAGAAACTGGGTTGTTATAAGATGGCAACTGGGGACGCGGTTTAGCCTCACCCTATTACATTTGAGTTTGTGGCATCGTGAGGGTAAAGCTTGGTAGTAAAATGGAATGGAAACAAGACTAGGGCATGGGTCATGGTTAGCTGTGTTTGCACTGCTGGGAAAAAGCACACATAGGGAAGGAAAGTTTTATTATGGCCCTCTGATCCCTAAACTACAACCTCTGTTGCCAGTTTCCTCAAGAGGAGAGAATTCTGTCCACCAAATTCAATACCGAGAGATGAATTCTTGCCTGAAGGCAGATGATCTGGACCTACAGAATTCCTCAGGTCTGTGAGTTCTTTGACGGTCTGTGGCCCTGGGGTTCAGACCAGTAGCTGCAGTTGAAGCTGAGGCATTCTACTTTACATAGTAGTGGAAAGAAATCTCAGACATAATAGGAAGTCTGTGAGGTACAAAAGGAAGAAAAGCAGGAATGAACTAAAAATTATTCTTAGAGAACATAAAAACTGTAGTCAAGAGGAGACCTCTGGCTAAGAGGTCCATGATTATTTCTGACAGAGGAACCATGTGGTAGAATATTATGACTTGGACCTCTTTTTATTAAAGCAGAAATTAATCTTCTAAAAGTTAAACTTTTCATATCTCTTTCATAGTTTCTTCCATTCCCACTCCCTGCTACTTTCCTTTCTCTAACATATTTATTATATTTTTCTAAAAGTTTAAACTTTCTATATCTTCATCCCATCAGAAGCCATCCCTATTCACAGGACTAGCCTTATTTCCCATTACATAATAAGTCTTTCTTTGTCCTCTGACTTCTATTTAGCACCAATTCTACCTCTAGGAAGCGTAACTCTCCTAGGTTTTAAGAAATATCGCAATAGCCACTTCCTCTATGAAGGCTCAGTGCCTTCTCAATAGTCCTTACCTTCTGAGAGGGACCTGCCTCACTTCTTCAATCCAAGGGATTTGGTATTTGCCAAAACTAACGCAGGGAAATATATATAAGGCGTAGGAAAGACTTTCTGTGCCTCTTAAATCACACTGTTTGTCTTCCTAATTGTGAACATTGTTTTGTTTTGTTTTTAACGTCTTTATTGGAGTACAGTTGCTTTACAATCGTGTGTTAGTTTCTGCTGTATAACAAAGTGAATCAGCTATACATACATATATATATATATATCCCCATATCTCCTCCCTCTTGCGTCTCCCTCCCACCCTCCCTATCCCACCCCTCTAGGTGGTCACAAAGAGCTTCTAAGGCACTTGAGGGGAGGTCTGATTTATTTCCCAGTAATTATTTTCTTCTTTTCAGAAAATTCCAATGAGTAAGATGGTTTTAATGATGCTGGACTAATTTCTGTGTCTAAATCTCTTCCTATTTCTGGATGAAAAAAGGAGACCACTCTGAGGTACAATGAAAAGGAAAATGAGAATTATAACCCAGTGAGGTGGGTGAGAAGAATTTATTCATCATTGTTCAAAACAGATTCCTTTTGAGAATTGAGAACACCTCTGGTATTAAAAAGAAAGAATGTATATACACATATATTTCCATATATATGTTTATGTTTGTATGTATATCCATACTCAGAATATGCAACAACTTTTTATAAATATGACTCTTGTCCATTGCTTAGTTACATATATTTTAAGCAATAGCAATTGTACATCATGTTGCTAAGGAGAAGCTGGGTAAGTAAATATAAATCACTTTTCTAAAGATACAATGAGTCATTTCAGAAAAGAGATAAGACATATCTACAGTTGCATAATGCCTGCTAGGGTAAAGATAGTATAAGATACTATAGGAGTATAGAAAGCTTGACAGTTTGGAGACAGTTTGGAGAGATTGTGAAGATGTGATGTTCAAGATAAACATCACATGACTGAAAGATAGACCATTCTAGGGAAAGGACATAGCATGTACAAAATGTGGCATAGAAGAGAATCACACCTTTGGGGAACAGTAAGTTTTTCATTCAAAAATATATTATGTTAAAAAAAATGTTGAACATATTTGTGATGACAAGTGGTGTCCCGAGCACTGAAGATACAGATAAAAAAGATGCTATTGACAATGGCATGATTGTTTAATGAAAGATCTCACAGTCTTTGTGTGGAAGTGTGGAGAGGCTATGTGGAGGGAGGGGAGTGATGAGAAGCTAGGCGGGGAAGGCTGGGTAAAGCCCCATGACAAATGGTCTTATCTGTTGTATTTCATGTTCATACTTTATTTTAGGGACTGTTGGGGAGATGGTGGGCTTTGGAAGATAAAGCTGGGGCAAGATATGATCAGATTTGCATTTTATAATTTGCTTTCATGAGGAACGTGTAACAAAAAAAGTGAATTAAGGCAAAAAATTTAAGTTATACATCAAAAATAAAAGATGGTGAAATGAGTTAGTAGGTACATCTTCTATTTTTTTTAATTAATTAATTTATTATTTATTTTTGGTTGCACTGGGTCTTTGTTGCTGCGCGCAGGCTTTCTCTAGCTGCGGTGAGCGGGGGCTACTCTTCATTGCGGTGAGCGGGCTTCTCACTGCGGTGTCTTCTCTCGTTGCCGAGCACGGGCTCTAGGTGCACGGGCTTCAGTAGTTGTGGCACACGGGCTCAGTAGTTGTGGCTCTCGGGCTCTAGAGTGCAGGCTCAGTAGTTGTGGCACACGGGCTTTCTTGCTCCACAGCATGTGGGATCTTCCTGGACCAGGGCTCGTACCCGTGTCCCCTGCATTGGCAGGTGGGTTCTTAACCAACTGTGCCACCAGGGAAGCCCCACATTTTCTATTTTTTAAAACGATTTTGGGAGGACTACACATTTGGAAATGATATATGGCAAAAGTATGGGGTTTTTTGTAGGGATATTTTACATGACATATGAGAAATACAGATTGAGACAGAAAAAATTTGGAATTCTTAAAGGTACATAAATGTAAAGTGTAATATATTGTATACACATACACATAGAGCTGTTATAAATTGTATACAGGATAAAGTGTTAATATATGTATACAAAACATATATAGTATTATTATATATATATATATATATATATATACATAAAACCAATTGTAAAGACATCTAATAAATAATTGGGCAAAGTTATGAAAAACGGTTCACAAAAAATGAATTTTAAACGACTACTAAATATTTTTAAAATGCTCAGGTTCACAGTATGTCTGGGAAATTCAAGTTATGATTAACAATGAGATATTGCTTTATATAAATCAGACAAACAAAAATTTAAAACAGCACCAATATTTCTTGTTGGTGGGAATACAGAGAAAAATGTGATTTCAAACATTGCTGTTGGAAATGAGAAGTGTGGTAGCCTTTGGAGAAAGCAATTTGGAAACTTCTATTAATTTTTTTTTTTAAATACTTCACGGATCCTTTGATCCAACAATTCTACCCCTAAAAGTTTCTTCCATACAGATAAAGCTATTAGTATGTAAGAACAAATATACAAGTGTTCCTTTTTGCAGCCTTGGTAGCACTGCCCAAAAGCTGGAAACAAAATGAATGCCAATCAATGGGGTAGTGGCTGGAAAAATTATAGTGCAGCCAACTAAAAAAGGAAAAATCATGCACAAAATTTAATAATATGATTCCAATTTTGTGTTCATGTTATTGAATACAATTAAACATAATATTTACATCTATAAAATTATCCTGTGTATACATGTAAAGAAACATTAAAAAATTCTAACAGATTGTAAACTAAGGACTGTGAATGACTTTTTAAAAAATTTTTATTGGCGTATAGTTGCTTTACAATGCTATGTTAGTTTCTACTGTACAGCAAGATGAATCAGCTATACATATACATATATCCCCTCTTTTTTGGATTTCCTTCCCATTTAGGCCACCACAGAGCACTGAGTAGTTTTGATAATCTCAAATATATGAATATTATTCTGATGTAATAAATAATGATTAAACTACCTTTTCCTTAAAGAGTAATCACTACTGAGCCACTGCTTCAGAATCACATGGGGGTGCTTTTAAAAATGGCATTTCTGCACTGTAGTTCTCCGGAATAGAAAGAATTCTTACACACACTGAAGTTTGAAAACCTTTGCATTTAAGTTTTCTGTTCAGGAAAGTAGTATGATTTTTAATATATGTGAGTGAGCGAGCATGTGTGTGTGTGTGTGTGTGTCTGTGAGAGAGAGAGAGAAAGAGAGCGAAAGAGACCGAGGGACAGATGTAATGTAATACATTATATTACATTATAATGTAATTCTTCTAGCATGTGCATATGAAGAGAAAAGTAACACTTTTTCTATTTATGTCTTTAGTTCAGCATTTAAGATACCTTGATGAAGACCAGGACTATTGAATGAGCAAGAATCTACCTGTATACTGAAGATTACAGTACAGTCCTTTGTCTCCCAGTATTCCGAAGACCGCTGATGAATTTCTAAAAATTAAATTGGTGAATGTGACTACTAAAAATTGTATGCAAGACTTTCAAGGGTATTAAAAGGAATACCCTTTTAATAAATAAATAAAAAGGAATATTGCTGATTTGAATTTGTCTTCATTTCTTGTTCTTGATTTTATGAATTTCTGAATGGGCTTTCTGACTTTTTTAGGATTTTATAAATATGTATTTTTATTTGACAATGTTTTCATTTGCATGTATCTTTTTCTAGTTTGGTTTAAATAATAATTTTCTTCTTATTACCAAATCAAACATTTTTCCTATACTTTTTTAATGAAGGGAAAGTTAATGATTTTTGAAGGTTTTATTAATAACGTACGGTTATCTCTACAACGCATAACGCTCTTGGGTTCTTTCATTTCTTTCTGTCACTGTAACTCTGATCACTGACAAAAAATGCACAGCAAAGCCTGCTAAGGGTACAAAGACTCAATGGCTCACTTCCTCGTTTCTTAGGGCAGCATAACTAAAGCTGAAATGAATGCATAAATTATGTCTTTTCTATATAAATATACCTCTTACAGTAAAAGTTTATATTTTACTAAAAATCACTTATCCATGTAACATATTAATATAAAGAAAGGTTAACATTTAAAGAAAGATATATAGTAATTCAAGACTGTTTAGAGTTTACTGACTTGTTAAATATCCAAGTGTTAGATGCAACTCGATTTCTAATCCTTTCTCAGTATTTGAGTACTGCATGCACCCTTTTCTAGCCCTTAGGGCTTCAAAGCAACTATCATGTAGAAACATGACATTTGTCTCATTTCCCTTTTCTTTTGCACCTCTCGTCAATTTCAAAGACAGATCTTCCTCGACTTACAATGGGGTTACCTCCTGATAAACCCGTGGTAAATTGAAACTACCCTAAATCGAAATGCTTTTAATACTCTTAACCTCCCAAACAAGATAGCTTAGCCTAGCCTACCTTAAATGGGCTCAGAACGCTTACATTAGCCTACAGTTGGGCAAAATCATCTAATACAAAGCTTATTTTGTAATGTTGAATATCTCACATAATTCATTGAATGCTGCACTGAGAACGAAAAGTGGAATTGTTGTCTGGGTACAGAATGGTTGTTCGCCCTCGTGATGGTGTGACTGATTGGGAGCTGTGTCTCGCTGCCACCACTGCCCAGCATCACGAGAGTATCCAGCAGCATGTCACTAGCCTGGGAAGAGATCAAAATTCAAAACTAGAAGTACAGTTTCTACTAAATGTGTATTGCTCTGTCTCACCTCTACACGTGCTTGGGTCCTTTTATCCTTAATCCTATTTCAAAATCAAATTTATAACGACTGACTGGAAAAGATTCAGCGTCACCTTTCCTTTTACTGTTTAGCATGTAATGTGAGGATTTCATCCCTGAGTCAGTTGAAAGCAACTTCTAATAGAAAGAGGAACATCACAGAAATAGACAAAAAAGAGAAACATTTCCACCTACAGGAACTAATGAGCGCTCAGAATGAAACATAAGTTTGATATATGTTCTCCCCAGAGAGAAACCTTAGAGGCTTAGCTGAGAGGAAGGGGAGGTCCCATGCAGAACACGAGGGGGCTGTCCCACTGGGACCACATTTGTGTACGATGTCTCAAACTATCTAGTGCATGGACTGTGGACCTGACTAGAGCTGCCAGCTTATGGGCAGAAAAACCCAAAGGTGAAGGGTAGAGAATACTCACCTGGCCTTCCTAGATGGCCCATCTTTATAATACTGTCATCTTTATCCTTATATACAGCACAGAGAATATCTGTATCTGAGCAACTAAGATAAAGTTCTCTGGGTCAGAGACAAATATCTGGAAACTCTTTCACAGATCCTCAGATTCTATAGGGTTTCCCATATCCTTATACCTAGGCATTAACCTCAGCTCAGTTAGGGCCCCAAATACTTCCTCATGCTCACAGGTATACCAGGAATGGACTTCCTAACCCAGTCCTGACCTGTGTCCCCCAGGTATTTCTATCATACATGAAAGTGAGATTTTTAAGAACTCTTAGCCCAGGGTCATTGAAAAGTCTCTAAAGCCCAGAGAGGAGGAATTGTTTCCCCAGACCATGTAGTAAGGAGCATATTTTTCAGTACCTCACATGTTAATGGAACCCCTCCCTTCCATATCTGTATATATATATTTTCTAGGCTCCACATTGAGATAATGTGTTCATTAACCTCACTGAAAAGGGGGGGAAATGAGAAAAATACATTGAAAAGGATGGTCATTGCAGATAGGACATATAGCCAAAAGGCCACATTTAAGGGTACACTGGTGCCTGATTCAGACTCACATGAAGATGCAAATAAGGATAAAGGAATTCTCTGCCCCAGTTCTGTCACCTTTTGAGTTATCAGGATGATGAAGCCACAGAAACAATGGGAATAATGAATGTCTCAGTTGAATTAGCCAGGCCTGATCCTATATATATCATAAAGGAAACGTTTAGTAAAATCAGATAGCTTCATTTCTATGAAAGCCTCAATGGTCCCTTAACTCCAGCACATCTTCCTCCTCCAAAATAGCCCTTTCCTCCTTATGCAGAACTCTGTTCAAATATTTTTATCCTTTTTCATATAAAGTCTGTTTATTTCTCCTTGTATGAACATCAGGGGACGATAGCATTTTAATAATCACGAGTGAGATATTTTTAAAGTATATAAATATTTGCCTTTCCATTTAAAAATGATGTTTGAAACTTTAAGATTAATGACTCAAAATACTAATATAAGTAGCTAAAGGAGTAATATGTGGGTTTGTTGATTTTAAATGATATATGAAGATCACAGGGAAAGACATTAATAGTACAATGGAACCATCATTTTTTTATTTCTATATTGAGCATTATTTTATCAAGGGAGTGACAATTGAGGGGTTTCTGGAAGTTTTAGTCCATAGCATCCTTAGCATAAGAAACAACTCCTTTTGACTTTGGAAATTTTTTATACAAATATAAGGGAAGTAACCAACCACTGTCCATGAAGAAAACTATCTATTCAAGGCTATCTTGAATTTCAGTTTAGGTCCCAGAGATTGGGGAGCAATGCGTATTTTTAAATAAATAGATTAGGCATATTCCTTGCCAGGGAGCATCTTTGAAGAGCAATGGTTTCCTGGGCAGGAAATTAAGGCTAGAATGTTGGTGCCTCACACATAAAGATATGTAAGTTGAAGTAAGCAAGACTTGGAGGAAATGAATGAAAAACTATTGTGACGGTAGTATAATTTTAGAAAGCTAAGAGGATGGTTTCCATTCTTGGAATTAATTTCTAAAAGAATGAACTCTTAGAATAGTATGTGACCAATGTTTAACCCTCCTGACCCAGCACCCTGAAGAATCCCCATGAAGAAAAGAAACAGAAGTAGCTAGAAGAGTCCTGTGGTGTGATCACTAGGTTTTCTGCTGAAGGTAAACAGAGCGCTCCCCTTTGCACCACATAGGCAACAGAGCTGCATTTCCTATTATCATTTCCTCACTGTTTCTGTCTCCTTTTATGCTCTAAATGGCGGGGGCTGGAAGACTTACGATTTCCCACAATCACTTGCAGGAAGAAGCTGAGGTAAATTCCACCAATGATAGGTTCTCCTATTTAGGGGAGATTTAGTTTTGCAAGGGCCTTTGCACTTGCCTGAAAATTGCTAGCCTTGGTGTTGGTGCATCCTTCAGAAGTGGTTTCCTGGGGTATTTGAAACTTTCTGATAAGGATTTTGTAAGCACTTGACTTCCTGTAGGAAACCACTTCCTGCTTTAAATACCTACAGGGCTTTTTGTTTGATGCCTGATTTTAGAACCCCAGGTCTCCTTGAATTCACTTAACCCTTAGAAAAATTACATTTCAGGAGCAGGACAATCAGGCTTTAGAGTTGTATCCTCTCACCCCAGAGTAGTGAAAGATGAAGAATAAAACGACATTTACAAGGAATTTGTTGGGCAGGTAGACCAATGAGAGAGAGACAGACAGACAGACAGAGAGACAGAGAGAGACAGAGTAAAAGGAATTATACTCAAGGGGGGGGGTGGGGGAAAAAAAAAAAGAAATTATACTCAATAAGAAAGAATCAGAAACTTAAGAAACAAAACTACAAAAGAAATGCACAAGCCTAGAGATGAAGAAAACTAAAACTAAAACTTTTGATACAATCAAGCTATTAAGAAAAATCAATAAAATTGAATAAATAACATATTAAAAAAAGAACAATAAAAATAAAATGGAAAATAAAAAAGAAGAAATGTGCCCCCAGAAACCGCAGGAGCACCTATGAAGAGAAAAAGAACATACAAACATAGAAAGTGACACACACCCCCAAAGAAACAGGTGCAGACAGAAAAGACCAACATCCCACAGACATTTTCAATATCACCTTAATAGACATCCACACAGTTTTACAAACACCAAAATGAATTGTGATTTCAACAGCTCTTTATCACAAATTATTATAATTATTAGACAATGAAGGGACTTTCCCAGACTATTTTAACTTCCCACTCAATGTGGAAATTCCTCACCTAACAGTTCTGAAAGGTTGCGCCGGATTTTTCTTTAATATTTCTACTGACAGTTTGTTTCACCTCAGAACAATCTATTTCATGTCTCCAGTCCAGGTATCTCTCTCCTCTTCTCCCCTCCTCTCCTCTATCCTCCCCTCCTTCCCTTCCCCCAACTCCTTCTTTCTCTGTCTCCCTCCCCCTCCTCCTCTTTCTTCTCCTGTCCACCCTTCCCCGCCCCCTTCGCTTCCTCCGTGTCTCTCTCTCCCTTTCTCTTTCCGCCTCCCTCTCTCCCCACCCTCCTCCAGTTCTTTATATGCTTCTCCAACTAGAGATTCCAAGTAGATGCCTTAAAGACCCATCTGGATGAACGTACTGCACTTGGTCAAGAGAGGTGAACAGAGGTAAACAGGTAAACATGACAGGTAAAGCTGAGGAAGAATTATGTCTAGGAACTTACATGAAAAGAAAAGCTGATGTGGGAGAGGAGCGATAAAAATTAGTTTCACTTGGTAATAAAGAAGAAATGTTTGGGGGCCATGAAGCTTTGGGTAGAAAAAGAAAATCTATAGAAATTCCTTCTCTGGGCAACTGTCTCTGTGAAACCATGTTCCATTCCAAGATGGGAGAGAAGCATGGCGCTGATATAAGAAAACAGTGCAATGTGGACAGAGCATTTCAGAATGTTCAGATGAGTTTGCTACATGATCATCTTAGATGGAGAGAGAAAAGTCTCAGCTATGGTCCTGGATTAAGTGACCACTTAGTCTTATAAGGACCATGAGTTTTTCTTCCCCTGCAAGAATGACTATATATGTTGCTTTAGGAGAATAAGATAATGTAAGTCACTCACCTAGGATTTCACCTGGAAATAGGAAATTCTCTTGAGATTTAAGTTGAGTAAAAACAGTTGAGTGTAAGAAGCTATCAGTTCAACAAAAAATTCCTGGTAGCACAGAACTTTTCTGAGAGTCTCAAAATATTTATTATCTTTTTTTCCAGTATAAACACAGATAATGAGGGTCTCAAAAGACCTCCCCCATCTGAGATAAGATGTCACAGGACTCCTTGCAGGCTTAGCCACTCTCAAACTGATGGCCCAGGGGCACAGATCTCAGCCTCAGAATCCCTGGGCTCTCTTGCTACCCTCACGAATAGTGGGGGATCTTCTCTCATCTCATCTTCCTGCCCTCCAAGAACTTCTGTCCTTGGTGACTCCAGGGGACAGCCTGAAACAAGAAGAAAAGTGTTTGATTCTACCTGTGACCCAGAAGAATGATAACACTCATTTTAGAGAGCAGGAATAATGGAAGAGATGCAGACTGTAAAAATTTCTGTACGTCATCAGACACTCAGAACCATCCTGTCACGACAGGACTTTATGACTCTTGGCCCATAGTCTGGGGAAAACTTGTAACAAGAGATTACTATTTCTCAAGGTGAATATACAAGAAATGGGAAGGAAGAAATCACAGCTCCAAAACAGTCAGTCCTCAGTGACAGACCAACCTTTTCTTTGTGACTTGTCCTGACTTCTGAAATATCTATGCAGATAATCCCAAACTTTATAATGCTTGTTATATAAGGGAGTTGCTACATGAGCTATAAAAAAAGTCAGTCTTCACCAGAAGGCTTACAACTTTTCACCTTACACAGAAAAAAGAAAACAACAGCTTTCTAATCTGTTAATTTAAAAATATTACAGCTGAAGCTCTCGTGCTTCTATCTCTAAGGTCCTATGAGTTTCTAAAGAAATCTGGATTAATGTTCTCCCCCATCTAACCCAAGAAACTATATATCTGTAAGGAAGGTCAATCTAGTATATTAGGGGCAATGGCCCTCGTAATGTAAGAAATGTCACAAAATATTCATATTCTGGCATTTGGTTCACATGCAGAATTAGTGCAAAAATCGTTTGACCGTGCATGGAACTAATATTCAAGTTTGAGAAATATGGTCATAGAAACACCGCATCAGTGACTGAGAACAGGGGTGGAAGGGAGGTGTAACCACAGAAACCGAGATCTAGCCAGCCTCTGTGAGGACACAGAAATGCCTTGAAAAGGGCAAAGTCGATGTATGAGAGAGATAGGAACCCACTCAGATTTTCTACTCTCAGAAAGGATAGCTGTACTCTCCTTGGTCACTTAGAGAGGCCTAGGTGACAAACCTGTACCCCTCCACGAAGGAGATACCCACTTCACTCATTGCTGGAAAAGGAACAGTTTCAGACAAAGCCACTAATTTGACTTCTTTGAAATCATCACTTGGGGAATTGTGTTCTGACTTCGGACTCTAAGGCAGACAAGGGTCTCAAGGACAGTGGCAGAAGTGAAGTGCAACGTGAAATAGGGAAATGGAGACATTTATACAGATGACTGTGAGCTACAGTGACTTCATGTGAAGTTTGGGGCAATTGACTTAAACTTTTCCAACTACAACAATAAAATATATATTCTCATTTATATAATGGCAGTGTTGGGTTAGACGCTCTGGTTGCTTACAATTAAAACCATGTTCTACTTTATTTTACCTCAGAGAAACCCTTTTACAGAAAGGGTTTTAAAATAATAAATGATAAATATTTTTAAAAAATAACCTTTTACAGACCAGGCGTTTTAATTTTGTGAGAGGGAAACCTGGTCAGACTACCTGTAGGACATCTGACGTTCATGTTGAAGGAGTGATAGGGTTCATTCAGAGAACCGAAGGAGTCCTCTCCCAGTGATGTCACAAGGGAGCCATAGAACAGCACGAAGAAGAAAGGAACTGCCCTTACCTGGAGAGGCAAGTCACCTGACATACACAATCTGCAGGAATTAGGGCCAACAGGTGGTCAGAATGTCCCCTAGAAAAATGGACTTTCAGCCTCCCTAGGGTGTTTGTATGATGATCTATCCCATCACTTATCCCTATCACAATGACAACTTTATAACAAGTGCCTGGAGAAGAGGCACTTTTTCACTGTCTAGCATGAAAAAAAAAAAAAAAAGTAGCTTAATCACTGAGTCACTCGAGAGAGAGAACCTTGATAAGAAGAGGAACATCACAAGTATAGATAGATGAGAAAGAGAAACCTTTCCACATACAGGAGTCCCTAAATCATAAACCTATGTTTATTATGAAGGTAATGAGGAGTTAATGAGAGCTCAGAAGCAGACATCTGCTTGAAAAGTGTTCTCCCTAGAGAGAAGACTCAGAAGTCTTAGGCTAAACAGAACATGAGGGGGATGTCTCACTGAGCCCAGATTTGAGTTTGGGATTCTCGGATATCTAGCACGTGAACTGTGGGAGTAACTATAGAGCTGTCCGCTTATGGCCATATGAACCCAAAGGTGAAGGGCAAAGAATACACACCTGGTCTTCCCAGATGATCCATCTTTATGCCATTGTTTTCTTTATCCTTATGGACAGCATTATGCAGAGAATACCTGCATCTGAGCAACACTATGACAAAGCACACTGGGTCAGAGATCATCTGGAAACTCCATATATCCCCAGGTTCCACAGGGTTCCTTAGATCCTTAAGCCTGGGCATTATGTAGGCTCAGGCAGGGCCCCTGATACTTCCTCATACTCCACAGGTACACCAGGAATGGACTTAGCCCAGTCCTGACCTGTGTTACCCAAGTACTTCTATCACATATAAGATTATAATTCTAAGACCTTTAGCCCTGGGTCATTGAGACCTTGGGGATCAGAGAAGAGTAGACATTTTTCCTCGTGTTCCCTGCATTATAACATATTATATATAACATATATCATATATTATACATATATAACATATTATATATAACATATATATAACATATGTTATATATTATATAAAATATAACATATAATAATAACACCTTCTCCTTGCTCCATACACACATTCCCTCATTATAGTTGGCCTGTGTCCTAAAGCCCACCATGGCACTTACATTTCTTTACATGTTGGTCTATCTCAAGTAAAAAGGAAGAAAACATGACAAAGAGAAAAAATACAAAGAGCATAGCAAACAAGGCATAGAGCCAAGGAACACCATTTGGGAATAAACTGGCCCCTGGTACAACTTCTGCCATCGAGGTCTGAGGACACGGAATTCTCTGCCCAGCTCTCTCACCTCCTAGGTGATAAGGCTGATGAAGTCACAGCTTCAGGTACAATAGGACTCATGCAGGTCTGGATGGGGATTGGCCAAGCCTCATCCTATAACTGCTAGATAGAAACAAGTAATCTCAGGGAGCTTCACTTCCACCACAGCTCCACTGAACCAAAAATATTAGACAATCAGATTAGCTTGGCCAAGGTCAAACAGCTTGTGAGCAGCTGGTGTGGCACTGAAAGCTGGCCTGCTGAGTCCCAGCTCCAGGCCCTTTCCGGTGCCCACAGTGCTGCCTGCCTTGCTGCCTGCCCGGGCCTGTGTTCCAGCCTGGCACGGATCTCAACTCCTCATTCTCTCCCTCACCCATGCCCAGCTCATTTGTCACCCAGCCCTTCTGTTGCTAGTTTGCATTTTTTCATTCTTTCAAGGAGAACTGCTTCTCTCTCTCCTGGGTCTGGGGTCAGGGCTCTCCTAGGGCTGGTAGTGAGAGGCTGGCAGGCCTGCTAGCTGGTCACTCAGTGGTTACTTCCACTGCTGGGGCCCATACTTGGATACCTCAGCACTGACCCCCTATGCTGCTTTCACCCTGTGCCTCCCTAGCCTCAAGGCCACCCCTAAGTAGAGGACTCACTTTCCTCTGCTTAGCTGGGCAGTAGGGGCTGCTGGGATGGCAACAGTAGACCTAAGAGTTAGAGGAGCCTGGGTCTCCCGTCTCTGCACTCCCAGGAGAGCCCGTCTCTTTCCCTAAAGCTTCCTGATTTAGGGCTCTCTGTGAAGGCCCAAAACGTACTGTGAGCTCCAGCCCCAGGGCCTCTGAGGGTAGATTCTACTACACATATTCAGAATGTCCCTCTCACTGCACTGGAACCATATCCATTCACAAAATGAAGAAACTATTTCCCTAGACTTCACAGCCCTAGAGCCAGTCTTACTCAGCAGAACAATGTCTAAATTGAAAAACCAAAAAAAGGACAGATTTCCCCTGCCACAGGGAACACTCTGTCCCACCACCACTCCCCCGTACACACAATGATCTCAATTCCTTGTCTGAACTCAACTTTCTCTAAGGTGACTGACCAGTGCAGACCCACTGACAAGATGCTAAGGTGGTTCCATAGTCTTTGCCAGCTCCCAAGACTTTTTATGTACCATGTCCAGGAGCCTTCATGCCTCATCTCCATCTGCATGAGTGTGTGTTTCCTCTTAAGGTCCACAAACCCCCTATTTCTCAACAGAACAGCAAAGAGAAATCTCTGATACCAGGACACTGCCTAAGAACAAAAAATGTGCCCAGTGCAGGATTGGATAAGAAATACGAGGTCTAAATACTGCTTCTCATCCAACTGAGGAAATAAAATCCCAGGTGGAAAAAGCAAGGGTCATTATGGACTGGACCATCGGGGAATACTTTATGGAACATTAGAGAAGAAAAATAACCTTTAAGCAAATGCAACTGAAAGGAAATTATCTGTCGAGAATCAGAATGATTTCCTGATTCTAAGGGATGTAAACAGGAAATGAAGATGCCTACGTGCCTTTATTGGCTTTATTTTTGGCTGAGTCTCAGATATTAAAATTCTCTAAGTTTTTTTTTTTAACTTATCACGGTCAGAACTAATGTTTAAAAGCTGAAACAAAGAAAAAGTGTCCAGACTATTTTACTCTTATCTTTGCTAATAACTACACTGTAATAAAATCTACATGATTGTGTTGCTTTGTGTTGACATCTTCACACAGAAAGGTTCACGTTTTTGGGTTAAAACAACACTCATTGGCTCCAGCACATCTTTCTCCTCCTAATAAAGCTCTTCCCTCCTTATGCAGAACTCTGTTCAATTTTCTATTCTTTTTCATATAAAGTCTGTTTATAACCCCTTGTGTAGGAAAAAATCAGGAAAAATGCAATTTAAATAATCCTAAGTGAGGAGGCTTTAAAAAAGCAATACAGCATTTGCCTTTATTCTTTTAACAAACCGGGGATTTTAAATCTGGAGTATCATTTAATGATTCAAAATATAAATATAAGTAATTAAGGAGAACAAAGAACAAATAAGAACAAATAGGAACAAAGAAGTTAAAGTAGTATAGGAAATGGTATAGGACATATATGCACTACCAAATGTAAAATCAATAGCTAGTGGGATGCAGCCACAGAGCACAGGGAGATCAGCTCGGTGCTTTGTGACCACCTAGAAGGATGGGATAGGGAGGGTGGGAGGGAGGGAGACACAAGAGGGAAGAGATATAGGGATATATGTATATGTATAGCTGATTCACTTTGTTATAAAGCAGAAACCAACACACCATTGTAAAGCAATTATACTCCAATAAAGATGTTAAAATAAAAGATATGGGGCTTCCCTGGTGGCGCAGTGGTTGAGGGTCCACCTGCCGATGCAGGGGACACGGGTTCGTGCCCTGGTCCGGGAGGATCCCACATGCCGCGGAGCGGCTGGGCCCGTGAGCCATGGCCGCTGAGCCTGCGTGTCCGGAGCCTGTGCTCCACAACGGGAGAGGCCACAACAGTGAGAGGCCCGCGTACCACAAAAAAATAATAATAATTAATAAATAAATAAAAAGGTTTTAAAAAAATAGAATCTCTTTACATTTTATTTTCTTTAGAATTTTTTTCCAGATTTGTTGAGATATAATTAACATATAGCATTGTGTAAATTTAAGGTATACAACATAATGCTTTGATACATGTACATATTTTGAAATGATTACAATAAGTTTAGTAAAGGCTTCCACCACCTCACACAGTTACCTTTTCTTTCTTCTTGTGTTGAGAACATTTAAGATCTAGTGTGTAAGGGCAACTTTCAAGTACATAATATAGTACTGTTAACTATAGTCACCATGTTGACATTAAATTCCCGGAACTTATTCATCTTATAGCTGGGGGTTTGTACCCTTTCACCACCATTTCTCCATTCTTCCACCCCCCAGCCCCTGGGAACCATCATTAACTCTATTTTTAAGAGTTTAACTTTTTTTAGATTCCACAAATAAGAGATATCATAAAGTAGTTGTCTTTCTCTGTCTGGCTTATTTCAATTACCAAAATGCCCTCAAGGTCCTTTCATGTTGTCACAAATGGCGGGATTTCCATCTTTCTTATGACTGAATTATATTCCATTATATACATGTACATCACATTTTCTTTATCCATTCACCTGTTGATGAACACTTTAATTGTAGTTTCCATATCTTGGCCATTGTGAATAATGCTGCAATGAACATAGGAGTGAAGACATCTCTTTGAGATACTGATTTCATTTCCTTTGGATATACACCCAGAAGCTGGATTGCTGAATCATATGGTGGTTCTATTTTTAATTTTTTGAGGAACCTCCATACTCTTTCCATAATGGCTGCACCAATGTGCATTCCGACCAACAGTGCACAAGGGCTCCCTTTTCTTCTCAGCCTCACTAAAACTTGTTGTCTCTTGTCTTTTTGATGACAGTCATTCTAACAGGTGTGAGGTGATGTCTCATTGCGGTTGGGATTTGACTCTCCCTGATGATTACTGATAGTATCTTTTCATGTATTGGGTTGGCCAAAAAGTTCATTTGGGTTTTTGTAACGTCTTATGGAAAAACCCAGACGAACGTTTTGGCCAACCCAATACCTCCTGGCCAGTTGTATGTCTTCTTTGGAAAAATGACAATTCAACTCCTTTGCCCATTTTTTAATTGGATTTTTTTTTGGCTATTAAATTGTACGAGTTTTTAGTATAATTTAGATTCTAACCCCTTATCAGATAGATGATTTGCAAATATTTTCTCCCACTCCATAGGTTGCCTTTTCATTTTGTAGACTGTTTGTTGTGCAGAAACATTTTAGTGTTATATAGTTCACTTGTTTATTTTTGCTTTTTGTTGCTTGTGCATTTAGTGCCACATCCAAAAATTGGTGTCAAGACCAGAGTCTATGAGCATTTTCACTATGTTTTCCTCAAGGATTTTTACAGTTTCAGGTCTTATATGTAAGCCTTTAATCCATCTGTAGTTAATTTTAGTATAAGGATATAATATAGGGGTCCTGTTTTATTCATTTGCTTGTGAATATCAAGTTTTACCAACAGCATTTATCGAAGAGACAATTGCTTCCTAATTGAGTGTTCATGGCACCCTTGTCAAAAATTAGTTGGACACTTGTAAGAGAACAATTTCCAATAGAATGAACATAAATGACCCAACAATAGCATGCCAGTAGCTGGAGAAATTGGTAAGCCACTTTAAAAAAATCATTTGTTGAAATCTACAAAATATACACATATTATACCCTATAACTCAGAATATTCCAAAGAGTATATTCCTGGGTATATTCCTAAGAAAAACTTTCATCAATTTTGGGTAATAGTGGCTGATATGAATATCTTTTTATATGTGTTTTGGTAGATAAACTCATTTTTTCTTTCCTATTATATAGCTCTGACACCAGTTCTACTTATAATAGCCAAAAACTAGAAATAATTCAATGTCCAAAATGCAAATAAATAGTGATAGAGACTTTCATTAGAATACTAGATAGCAATTTAAAAAAAAACTGCTACATGTAGTAACTTATTTGAATTTCGCAGACATACTATCTTGTAAAAGAAGCCAGGCCAAAAGAAATTCTCACTGTTCAAACTGCTCAACCACACGAAGAGCTAATCTATGGTAATAAAAGGTCGGTACATATAGTGGTAGGCAGGGAAAGCAGGCATGAGAGTGCCTTCTCCGGCGTAGAAAATATTCTTTATCTAGCAAATACATATATGGGTATATAGTTATGTATCAGTTCTTTAGTTGTACACTTAACATTTGTGAAATTTACTCTATGCAAGTTTATAACTCCATAAAAAAGTAAAATTAATATTGTACTAGGCTTTTTAAATGAGCTGGGGATTTTTTCCCTCTATTTTCTGCTGCTTCTCTTTTTTAAATTTAGGGGGGAGTTGAGGAAGATGGCGGAAGAGTAAGACGCGGAGATCACCTTCTTCCCCACAGATACATCAGAAATACATCTACACGTGGAAATGCTCCTGTAGAACACCTACTGAACGCTGGCAGAAGACCTCAGCCCTCCCAAAAGGCAAGAAACTCCCCACGTACCTGGGTAGGGCAAAAGAAAAAAGAATAAACAGAGACAAAAGAATAGGGACGGTACCTGCACCAGCGGGAGGGAGTTGTGAAGGAGGAAAAGTTTCCACACACTAGAAGCCCCTTCGCGGGCGGAGACTGCGGGTGGCGGAGGGGGGAGCTTCGGAGCCGTGGAGGAGAGCACAGCAACAGGGGTGCGGAGGGAAAAGCGGAGAGATTCCCGCACAGAGGATCAGGGCCGACCGGCACTCACCGGCCCGAGAGGCTTGTCTGCTCACCCGCCGGGGCGGGCGGGGCTGTGAGCTGAGGCTCGGGCTTCGGTCGAAGCAGGGAGAGGGCTGGGGTTGGCGGCGTGAACACAGCCTGCATGGGGTTAGTGCGCCACGGCTGGCCGCGAGGGAGTCCCGGGAAAAATCTGGACCTGCTAGAGAGGCAAGAGACTTTTTCTTGCCTCTTTGTTTCCTGGTGCGCGAGGAGAGGGGATTCAGGGCGCCGCTTAAAGGAGCTCCAGAGACGGGCGCGAGCCGCGGCTAAAAGCGCGGACCCCAGAGACGGGCATGAGACGCTAAGGCTGCTGCTGCTGCCACCAAGAAGCCTGTGTGTGAGCACAGGTCACTCTCCACACCCCTCTTCCGGGGAGCCTGTGCAGCCCGCCACTGCCAGGGTCCCGGGATCCAGGGAAAACTTACCCGGGTGAACGCACGGCGCGCCTCAGGCTGGTGCAACGTCACGCCGCCTCTGACGCCGCAGGCCCGCCCCGCA